TTTCTGACCATCCTGGTCCCTCTTCTGTCTTCCCTTGCTGCTTCTTTTGTAATTCTGGAAACAACATGAAAACAGTTTGAGCTTAGAGGGATTTGACAGTGCTCGTTCATTCCAGTGCTGGTGTATGGAGCAATGATCATTATCACGACTACCCTCATCATCATCATAAGTGTGCCGCTTCGGCTCAGATGATGCGGCCTAAAGGCTTTGAGTAAACATTATGTAAGTGCTGCTGAATATTCAAATTCTTAGTAATGAAATACAACCTTTCCTGATGGATTGGTGTGGGCAGGAACTGAGTCATGTTTGCACTGGATCTCAATTTGATGCATTTTTATGAAGAGGTTCTGCATAGAGCGATTCGGGAGCCGGTTCTCAAAGTGTGACGGTGTCTTTGTTTTGTCGCCGCTGAGATGCGTAACCTGATACATTAAGAACAATATGATGCATTTAAGATACATGAGCTGCAAAACACAAACTCATTTTTCCTCACAGATTTAATTATAAAATGTACTGTGTGTTTTCAAACTGATAAAATTTGATTTGCATGGAGGAAGATTATGGACTGAGATTAAATGAGAATATCTTTTTAACTTGGTTTACTTCAGAAATGCGTGGTAGAATAAAAAAAGCAGGGTATTGCAATTTTATTACAAGATTTCCTGCATTATGAGAAGTCTTTTTTTGGTTCCTCTGTAGTGAGAATCAACATGTAATTTTAATGTATGGACAATAAAAAACAATTATAAAGGTCTTTTTAAGTGCTCATAAATACGAAAAGGTAAACTTAATGGAACGCACTGGCAGGAAAAACAAAACAAAAACTACTTTTGTGATTAAAGAAACTTTAGTATAAAAGAGCTTCGATGTGGAAAAGCAAAAAGAGCAAATAGTAAGATATAAAAAAGAAAATCTTGCAGCAAGTTAGAGTATTATCTTCACTTGCCGTGTCATAAGGTGTTTCAGCATGAAATGTAGTTGAAGTAAATGTTCAGGTGCCAAATAAAACACTGATTCATCTCAATCAGCCAGAGATGAAAATCATCTCTTTTCCTTTGGATCAGCTCTGATTGGTTACTGGAACGAAGAGTCTAGAATCAATGCTAAGAATTTTCACCTTTTTGGTATGAATAAAAAAAATCAACAATCAGTATTTCATTTGCTGCCCTTTGAGTTTTAATAAAACTCTGTTACAGAATCTTGACTACAGTCTTTGGAGGAAAAAAAATTCATAAACTTGATTTTAGTTTGAACAGAAAACCTCATGTACACAGTAAACCAGGCTGCAAGTACAGACATATTACCAGGGTTGCATCAAGGAACTTTTTGGACCTAATAGAAGTATTAAAAAAAGAAATGTATAGAAAAAACCAGCAGTAGTTTAGTTAATGTGTGCTTTCAGAGTTGTGAGAGCTAATGGGAATAAATTTTCCCTGAATTTTTTTGTCCTGGACCTTCAGGGTCTGCCAAAAGGCAGCAGGTCAAACAGGTGGTAGGCGTGACGGGTGAAGTCCTTGACGATGAGCTTCGCTCTGCTGAGGCAGCAAGAAGTGTAGCTTTTCCTGCCGCATCTTGACCACCTTCTGTGACCTCTTCCCATCTGCTTTGACGTGGTTTGCCCATTGCACTGAGGCAGATGGGCAGATTTAGCAGAAAATAGTCAAGATGGAGAAAAAGAAATGCACAAACCACAGCGGGTAGAGGAAGGTAGCAAGAAGGTTACTAGCAGCCTTAGGTTGATGATATCCCTCCTTAGAAATCTTAGGAAGCGTAAATGACGTTCTGCCTTCTTTACGACAGTCAAGGTATTAGCAGACCAGGCCAATACTGCACCTTAAGCCGGGCTTACACTGTGCGATTTTTTTTTTCCTGCCCTTTTCGGGCCGACTTTCCTATGGTGTGAGAATTTTTCGAACGGGTCGAATTTCAGCCTGATCGTGCGTCGTGTAGTGTACAGGGGGTAACGAGGGGCGATCAGCCTTTCAAGACCACCTCCCGATCAGTAATCGTGAAGTCGGTAAAAAAATCAAACATGTTTGATTTTCAGTCGGCCGTCATGGGAAAATCACTCAGTGGGCATGAGCAAATAAGGATTCTTCTTCTTCGCCTTCCTCTCAGATGAAAACACAGAATCATGGCGGGGGTGCGAGTGAAATGGAGTTCCTTCTGTAAAATTGACAGAGCATAGTAGCCAAGTTTGCTCAGCCATGTCTTTGTCAAAATACGTTGTTGCATTTTCCTTTTAGGGCTTTCAGCACAACATTCCACAAATTGCTACGTTTCACTCCAGTGAGCTTCATATTCCTCTTCTACTGGTTTGGCTTCCGGATAGACGAGTCCAGGTAACGCCATCTAACTGCGGAGCTGAGTCCGACGTGGTTTTTACACCTACAGTGTAAGAAGGTAGATTGCATCAGAGTGTCGGGACGCGCAGTGTGAGAACATACGAAGTGAGCTGTGAACTCACACTGTAAAACGAAAGTCTGCGGTTTTATTGTAA